GTTTTTATGCCAGTCGATGGACTCTCGCGGGCGTGCCACAATATTTGTATAAAACACCCAAAATATTGAAATGAACACTAGCCTATCTCTTTTCCCGTGGCTGACTCTCAAGTGATTGTGTGGGAGAGAGACTAATAAGAACTCCCAACAAGGTTCTTTTATGCCTTAATGCGAGGACTTTTTATCTGGGTGTTAGAAAGAATGCAATGACCAAAGAAAAAAACTGAATGAAAAGGCTGAATGAAAATGAGCGGTAAGAATTTAATCAATTGCCAGCAAAATGCAATGGCAAGCCTGATCAACCCGTGTCTTGGATCCGAGGGGTATCACAGTTTGTATCAAAGCACTCCAGGTTCTAGTGTCTCTAGGATTCTATCGTATAAGACTTCCGCGTAGCGTTTTCTATTAAATAGGATTCAAATACCCAAAGCAAGCATAAATTCTTATGCTACAAGTAATCCATGATTAACAACTTGAAATTAAATGCGAAATCAAATAGTGGAAAGACTAGGACATGTGGTCATTAGACCAAACAAGTATTTTTGGGTAATTTCGACCCACAAGGTACCACCTAGTGCACACTTATGACTTAAAGGACAATTGTTCACATACTAGAGCCAAACCCTAGCCATCACATAAATTATGTCCTCACAAGTTTTCCAAAATCAATAAGTTCAAAACTTACACAAAATCAAATGCAAGTTACCACACTCCATGCATAAGTAAGGTTGAGTCCACACAAATCATGCCCTAAAATTCTAGTCTAGATAGCATATGACATGTTATGTCCTCAATATGCAATTTATACATAAAGTAAGAATACTTTACAGTAATTGAGCTATATTACCATCCTAAGCCACAAGTACTAAATAAGCTTCAATTTAGTAACTAGCTTCCAAGGTAAATAATTGTAATATTTTAACAAGTTATGTACCTACACAAGATATATTTAAACAAGCTATTCAAGACAGTGATATCCTATATCATGCTAAGTCCAATTACCATTTTAAGATACCACAAGTACTAATTCTTCATCTAATTAGTAATATGCTCACAAGGTAAGTAATTTCATTACATTTCTTGAGATTATCACCTTATCATGAAAATTTTCTAGATTTCAAGTTAATTCCAAATAAACTCAAACTAATATATGTTAAAGGATATTGCATGGTCTTCACATATATTATATCCAAAAATCAATTTAAGCGACTACAACACTTAAAATAAAATTAATTAAGCTAATTAATTAATTTTCTCTAGATTTATAAACAACTCCAAATGTCTTCAATTTAACATATGTTAAAGAAATCACTAAGGCCTACTTTAATATCATATTACAAGTTAATTTCATGTTAGTTATAACCATGTGAATTAAACTTTCATTAAAGAAAAATATTAAATAAAGTCTCAATACTTATTCAAATCCACCCAATTTAATATATATTAATGAACATGTCAAAGCATAATTTAATAGCATGCCATAATTTAATTCTAAGCTAAATACAACCATGTAAATTAAATCTTACACAAAGAAAATAACTAAATTAAATTCTAGATTATGAATAAAAGCATGCATACAAGTTGTATAAGCATCAATAGCATGCAATAATACAAGAATATAAACTATAACACCCCTACCTCTATTTGAGATGAAATCTCAAATCCCTATCGAAAGAAAAATGCTCCAAATCCGACGATACTCCTAGGTTATGTCCGGGACAATGAAAGGAACATTAAACACCAAGGAGGTACCATGACAATCACAACTTGACTTCAAACTTGAACTTAAAAAATGGTCAGAAATGGGTTCTAATAAGGGGGAAATATGTGTGTAGTCAAGGCGAGTATAAAACACTAAGGTACTACAATGTTTTATACGAGGGAAGTGGCCGGAAAAGAAGAGAGAAGGGTAGTAGCAATGGCTACCATGGATGGCTGGCCAAGAGAGGGAAGGAAGATGATGAAAAGTGACTTTTTGACTTTAAGTCATTCTATTTATAGGAAAACCCTAAAAGTGCCCCGAAAGGGTCCCGGCGGGTCTGGAAAAGTGGAATTTGAGTAGACGTGCTCAAATGGTGAAAATCCATGAACAAAAACTGTGTCCAGAGCAGAAAGATAAAATATAAACAACAAAAGAAAGGGCGTCAAAAATTGAGTCCCGAGCAGAAAAATATGCCCCAAACAAGTTCGACGGCAACTAGGGTCAGAAACTCTGAAACTGGAGAAAAATGACTTGAAGGAAATTCCAAGTATACACGACTAGACAAAATGTGAAAATAAATCCCGTATGAGGATCCAGGCTCAAAACATGGCATTTTGCAATAACTTTTGTTAATTACACAATGGCTCTTCCAAAAAGGGTTAACTGTACTAATAACCCAAAAAGAAAATATCTTCCAAAAAATATTTTCTTAAAAACCACTGAAATAAAATATCTTCAAAAGATATTTATGAAAAACACCCTAAGAAAAGAAAAAGATTTTAAAGAACTGTGCATCCATGCCCCTATAGACACCGGGAGCAACCAAAGTACTTTCTTACAAAAGTAAAGATACGTATTTCGTGGAAACCACTTAGGACGAAGGCACGTGAAGTCAAAAACCAACTCCAAACATGAAAAGTGAGGTTTTTCTAAAAAGTGACAAATGGGGAAAAGACAGGATAGGGAAAAGGATGAAAAGTGAATAGTATCAAGAAACGAAAAATGTGGAAATGACTCGATCCTTAAAGGAAGTTGTCAATCCAAAGAAAAGAGTTTCAAAAACTATTTTTGAGCACTCAAGACTACAATAAGTTATGAGAAACCGAACTCAGAAAAGAAAATTAAATGGGAAAAAAAAAAATTCCCGTAAAATTTCAGAAAAAGGAAAGGGAGGAAAATGACCGGGTCATTACAACTTATTTATTAATTGTGTTTATCCCTGGGAAGTTTGGTGTTGTTTGGCTCACTTGTTTCATTGGAAGGTTCAAAAATTGCACAGTGCTGAAGTTTTTGCTATAGATATGGGGATTCAATTTCGTACAAAGTCCTGCCAGAATAAGGTCTTTAAGATGATGTTTATTGCCACTATATACTATTTATGGAATGAACGGAATGGAAGGTTACATAATAATATATCTAGAGTTTCTTCCACTTTAGTGAAATGCATTGTTTGGGATGTTTTAGATATAGTAGGGGTGCATCTTCAAGTTTTGATAGGCCAGTTAGAAGCTGCAAGGGTTGTTACAGGCATATCTACACTACTCTTAGCTTTTAGGGGTGTGTTTCAGTGAGGTTTTTTCCTCACTTTCTCTCTTGTAATCTATTATTTTATGTTTATAAAATTTTCTTTATTTAGGAGGAAAAAAAAAATAGGACTTTGGGTAAGTTTTTAAATTTCTAGTTTATTCTTGTTTGGCCTTTGTCGAGGCTATTGTAATTATCTATTTTGTTCAGAGCATAGGTCCTTATCGTGGCCATTTCAATCTATTTTTCATTATTATTGAATTGAGTAGAACGAGATCAATGTATGTGGATGTCTTAGTGAAGGGTTACTGTGATTGTTGTGTTTGTTAATTGATGGTAAGTCGTAGGTTATCGTCTTTATCACATCTTGAGGAACCAATTGATATTGTTTTACTCGAAAGGACTCTTAGACAATAAAGAAGGAACCTTAGGGATCCTGAAACTATAAGAGAACTTAAAATTAAAGTAGATAATATGGCTGATGAACAAGCTAATCTTGAAAATGCTAATCTCAAAAATCCTAGAGTTGAAAATCCTAGAGCTAAGAATGAAAATGTAGCCCCAATAACTCTTAGGGATCACTTTGTACCCTCAACATATACATCTCCATCATGCATTGTCATGCCTAATGTTGAGGCTCATCATTATGAGATCAAATCCACCATAATTTAAATGCTTCCAATTTATCATGGGTTTGATAATGAAGACCCTTATAAACATCTTGATAAGTTCTTGGAAATTTGTTCCACCATTAAGATGAGAGACTTCCCCCAAGATGCACTTCATATGCTTCTCTTCCCATTCTTTTTAAAAGAAATTGAAATAAGATGGATTAACTACAAAAGTTAAGTCCTACTTATAACTAGGTGTCAGGTCAATAAACCCTTTGAATGACACACTTGGAACGGACTTTATATATTTATGTTATGGTACTATGGTGTGAGCTTAAGTCTCAGAACCATGGTTAAGGTGCGTATATCGCCTAGGATGGATAGCTGGACAGTAGTTGCTGTTCCCTGGTAGGTTTACGTACACATGATCACGTAATGTGCGATTTGCATGGTATCTCTACTCAGGCTGAGACAGACCTATTGGACTAGTGAGCGTCCTATAGTGTGTATTATATACATATATGGACTACTCTAGATATTGTTGAGTCTATCTAGGATGTATCTGCGTATCGGGTTTATGTATGGATCATAGTAGAATAGGACTTGCATGTGGGCCTGACCCACTCTCTTATTTTTTAGGTGTTCGTCAGTTTCAGAGTTAGAGCTTGGATGTGCAGAGCAGATACAGATATTCACTTCGCTGATTATGTAGGATTACTTTCTTTATTTAGCTTTGGACTTATTTCAGTTCTTTTCTCTTCAGTTTGGGATTTTATTAGGGGTCCATGAGATGGATTCTCGAGTTGTAAATAAATGGAGGTTTTGGATTATTGGTTTTACAATAATAACCTTAAGGATTTTTGTAATTAGATTTCTGTTCAGTTATATTATTTATTTCTTTTTAAATTCAGTTTTGTATTCCGTATTCGTTTACATATTAATTGTTTGGTATCCCTCGAATCTGTGCTCGGACTTGATCACCCATGGCTCTAGAATCGAGGGGTATCACACCACCCATTCTCAACCAATCCCCCGCATACCATGAAGGCACACATACCTCATTTGACCTTAATGATGATTTTGCTGAGTTAGGTGGTCATGAGTTCAGTCCTTTTCCTGACCCTCGTGGTAAGAAACCAAGGAGAGAGAGTTTTGCCTCCACAATGGATCGTGTCATGGAGAAAATGAGTGACGCTTGTAGAGAGAAAACAGATCGAATTGAAAGGGCCATAGTCGTTTCTTCATCATCTAATATGAAAACAGGGCATGAAGTTGGGCAGGTTGAAGTCAATTCTCTATATAAGACAAAGGGTGATTTTAAATTATGTTGTTACATTTTGAATAAGTTGGAGGGTGTTGATATGAAACAATATGCTAAGGTCACCCAGATGTTACGTAATGATGAACTTTGGATGGATTTCTTTCTTAATGACCTTCCTGATGATAAGAGGGTTGGTTGGATCAATGGAATTTGACTTGGCATGTTGATTTTATTATGACTTTGGATGACTGTACTACTCGTATTATGAATTTTTGTGCGTTGCTTTTATTTCTTATTATCTTTTGCTATAACTTTGGGTGATTGTAATATTAAGTACACTCGTTGATATGTTATTTGGTTTCATTGTAATGACAATATAACTATTTTGCTTGTTTTGATTTTAGTTGTTGTCTTGCTTTGATTTTTTATTTGGTATTTTGCTTAAGATTATTGTAATTTATAATGTTTGTTAAATGTTGTATTATACAGATGGATATTAGGACAATAATTGACTTGTATGATGATGGTGATGAGGAGAATGAGTGTGTCATCATAATTGCATGTATGTTGGATTATTATAAGAAACATTATGAGAAACGACCTTGTAGGGATTCTCTTTTAATCGGGAAAGCATATATAATGGAGATCTTGCATGGACATGAAAGTAGATGTTTTGAAAATTTCAGGATGTCCACCCCTGTTTTTTTGAAGTTATGTGGGGAGCTTAAGTCATTAGGGTTGAAAGACTCAATAGGTGTAAGTGTTTATGAACAAGTTGGCATATTCTTGCTTATTTTAGCTCATAATGAAAGGAATCGTGTGGTCGCAGAAATATTTCAACACTCTACCTATACAATATCAAAATACTTCCATGCGATTTTACAAAAAGTCTATGATTTAGGGAAACAGATTATTGTCGGCCCAGATTTAACCCAAGTTTCTAACCATATAAGGAAGTCAAAAAAGTACCACCCTTTTTTTTCAGGATTGTGTTGGGCAATTGATGGAACTCATGTCCATGTGAACGTGCCTATGGACCAGCAAATACCATTTTGTGGTAGGAAGGGGGATACCACACAAAATGTAATGGCTGTTTGTGATTTTGATATGATGTTCACGTACGTCGTAGCAAGATGGGAGGGTCTGCTAATGATTCTAAGATACTGAACGAGACAATTAATAATGAGGATTTGCATTTCCCAATGCCTCCAAAAGGTAAATGATATTCATCTAATAATTTTGCAATACTTATTTAAAATATCATGGTTCCCAAACGTGCCTTATAGTTTGTAAAATGGTAGGGAAATATTATTTAGTGGACTCCGGGTATGCCACAAAGTATTTGTTGAATACTCTTGTTGCAAATTCCATCACTTCGTCACCCATCCCAAATGAATGAGATATTAAACTCCAATAAACAGATAATGGTTACCAATGGTGGTATGCAATCAATTGTGCAATTGGTTAATACTCATTCTCAATCAATAGCTAACATTCAAACCCAACTGGGACAATTGGCTACTTCTGTGAACCAACTTCACAAGAGGGAAACGGGAAAACTTCCAGCTTAACCTGTGGTGAACCTGAAAGGGCAATATATGATTGATGAAATCCCTCCTCCGAATGGATAAAATCTTTAACAAGTCCAAGCAATCATCACAGTTCGAAATGGAAGAATTGTGGATAATAAGGATGATGAAAAAACTGAAAATATTGCTCCTAACAGTTCAAGTTTTTCATCAAAAAATCTAAAAGTTATTCCAGAAATTCCAAATTCGCCAATCCCAAATGTTGAGACGTCTTATGAGCCCAAGGCTCCTTTACCTCAACGCCTCAAAGATTCCACACATTTTGGGAAAAAATGGCAATAAAATTCAGGAAATATTTGATGTCTTTAAGCAAGTAAATATTAATATTCCTCTCATTGATGCCATTAAGCAAATTCCACCTTATGCTAATTTTCTTAAAGATTTGTGTACTCAAAAATGCATTTCTAAGAGTAATACTCCCAACAAGGGGAGGTTAATAGAGAAAGCAAGTGTTATCATTCAACATAATACACCTCTGAAGTTTAAGGACCCTGGTTCCTCGACAATCTCGTGTGTCATTGGAGACAATGAGATAGAAAAGGCCTTCCATAACTTAGGATCAAGTGTAAATCTAATTCCTTACTCAGTATACTTGCAACTTGGCTTAAGAACTCAAACCAACCATGGTTGTCTTGTAACTTGCTGATAGATCTATCAAACAACCTCGTGGTATCATTGAGGATATACTCATCAAGGTGGACAAGTTCTACTTTCCAGTAGACTTCTTGGTTCTAGATACTGAACTAGTTCACGATACCAAAAGACACATTCCTGTGATCCTTGGTTAGCCCTTCTTAGCTACAGCTAATGCTTTAATTAATTACCGAACCGGGGTAATGGATATTTCTTTTGGAAATATGAACGTACAGCTCAATATTTTCAATGCTTCTCAACATCCTCTGGATGAAGATGGATGTCTCTCTCTTGACATCATAGATAAAGTGGTCAAAGAATCTCTCCCATTTATTCTAAGTCAAGATCCTCTTGAAACTTGCTTGGCTCACTTTGATTCTGAGGATTATGACATTGATCAATTTATTTGTGAAATCATTTCTTTGCTTGAGGCCAATGTAATCTCGGTTTTTCCTTCTTGGAAATTGCCAAAAGAACCTCTTCCGCTAATTTTCAGCACTCCTCCTGTTCCTTCATTGAAATCTCCATCTCAACTTGAGCTAAAGCCTCTGTCAGCTAATCTCAAGTATGTATTTTTTGGTATGAACAAAACTCTTCTGATCATTATTGCATCAGATCTTTCAAAGACCAAGAAAACAACCTTTTAGTAATGCTACAAGAACACAAAAAAGCTATTGGTAGGTCGGTGGCTGATTTAAAAGGAATTGACCCCTCCATTTGTATGCACCATATTCTTTTGGAGGAAGACGCGACACCTTCTCAAGAGGTGTAGTGCCGGTTGCATCCTAACATGAAGGAGGTTATCATAAAAGGGGTAATCAAGTTATTAAATGCAGGGATCATCTACCCCATCTTGGATAGTAAGTGGGTAAACCCTACTCAAGTTGTTACAAAGAAATTCGGTCTCATCGTTGTTGAAAATTCAGCGAGAAAACTTGTGCCATAACACGCCACCACTGGTTAGCGCGTGTTTATAGATTACTAGAAACTCAATTCTATAACTAGGAAAAATCATTTTCCATTTCCATTCATTGATTAAATCCTAGAAAGGTTAGCCAGCCAAAGTTATTATTATTTTCTTGATGGTTATCCTGGCTATAACCAAGTGGCAGTAGATCCTCAAGATCAAGAGAAGACCACCTTCACTTATCCTTTTGAAACTTTCGCTTATCGTTGCATGCCCTTTGGGTTATGTAATGCACCGGCCACTTTTTAGAGTTGCATAATGTCCATATTTTCTGATATGGTCAAAAAATTTCTTGTAGTGTCCATGAATGATTTTTCCGTCTTTAGATCTTCATTTGACTCTTGTCTCCATAATCTGTCCCTTGTACTTCAAAGATGTAAAGAGACAAATCTGATCTTAAGTTGGGAAAAGTGTCACTTCATGGTATAAGAAGGGATTATCTTAGGTCACATTATCTCTAAAAGTGGGATTGAGGTCGTTAAGGCAAAAGTTAAATTAAGTCATAGCCTTCCTCCTCCCTCTTCAGTGAGACAAATTCGATCTTTTCTTAGCCATGTTGGCTTTTATCGTTGCTTCATCAAAGACTTTAGCAAGATATCCCGACTTTTGTGCCATCTTCTTGCCAATGATACTACTTTTAGCTTTGATGAAGCATGTTTGGAAGCTTTTAAGAAGCTCCGTTCACTACTATTTTCTACCCCAATCATGAAACCACATAATTGGTCTCTTCCCTTTGAGATCATGTGCGATGCAACCGACTATGTGCTGTTTTGGGCCAGCGTGTGGATAAAGCTCCTCATACCATTTATTATGCTAGCAAGACCCTCTCAGATGCTCAATTGAATTATACAACAACTAAGAAAGAGTTACTAGCTGTTATCTATGCCTTGGACAAATTTCGTTCTTATCTTCTTGGATCCAAGGTCATTGTCTTCACAGATCATGCCACATTAAGGCATTTGCTTGCAAAGAAAGAGACCAAACCTCGACTTATTCATTGGATACTCTTACTCTAAGAGTTTAACCTTGAGATTAAGGACAAGAAAGGCACTAATAATGTTGTAGCAGACCATCTCTCTCGGTTTTTCATTAAGAACACTTCTGATTTTTCTCCAGTTCATGATTCTTTTTTGAATAAGCAACTATTTCATATTTCTCATGTGTCGCCTCCTTGGTTTGCTGACATTTTCAATTATCTTGCAGTTGGAAAAATTCCATCCCAATGCTCTAAGCAAGAGAAAGATCATTTTTTCGCTCAAATCAAAAATTTCTTTTGGGAAGACCCGGAACTGTTCAAGTATTGCCCGGATCAAATAATCCGGAGATGCATTCTTGAATATGATGTTCAAAATATTTTGAAATTCTGCTACACTCTTGAATGTAGAGGACACTTCAGTGCTAAAAAGACTTCATCTAAAGTTCTTCAAAGTGGATTTTATTGGCCTTCATTATTCAAGGACGCTTACAATTTTTGCAAGTCTTGTAAGCGATGCTAAAAGCTTGGGGCCATGTCTAAAAGAGACATGATGCCATTGAACTCAATTTTAATTATCAAAATCTTTAATATATAGGGAACAGATTTAATGGGACCATTTTCGTCTTCCTATGGCTATGTTTACATTCTCTTGGCGGTGGATTAAGTATCTAAATGAATAGAGGCTGAGGCAACCATAACCAATGACCACGTTGCAGTGGTCAAGTTAATTCAAACGAATATATTCAGTCGGTTTGGTACACCTAAAGCACTCTTAAGTGACGGAGGATTTCATTTCTATAATTGTTATCTTCGATCTGTCTTCCTTAAGTACTCTATCACTCATAAGGTTGCCACGCCTTACCATCCTTAATCAAGTGGTCAAGTTGAAGTCTCAAATCAGGGAATCAAAAATATCCTTAAAATGACGGTTAGATCGGACAGCAAAGATTGGTCAATATGACTAAAGGATGCGCTTCAGGTTTACTGAACTGCATTTTAGATACCAATTGGCATGTCTCCATACCGGCTCGTTTATAGTAAGGCAAGTCACCTCCAGGTTGAATTAGAGCATCGTGCCTTTTGGGCCATAAAAAGGTTAAATTTTAATCTTGATCAGGCTGGCTCTAACCAAAAATTATAGCTCAATGAGTTAGAGAAAATTCGGAATAACGCTTATGAAAGTGCCAAAATTTACAAAGCAAAGACTAAAGCATTCCATGATAAGCATATCGTTAAAAAGTCTTTTGGTTTGGGTCAAAAAGTTTGGCTTTTCAATTCCCATTTGTATCTCTTTCCTGGGAAACTCCGTTCACGGTGGGAAAGTCGCTTCCTTATCATTTCTGTCTTCCCTCATGGTGCAGTTGAGTTGCAAGTTCTAAAGAATGGGAATCTTTTTAAAGTCAATAGCCAGCGGCTTACGCCCTATATATATTGTTTGGGGGATTGTTATGCTTCAATTATAGGTTCATGAATTTTGGGTTTTCCTTATTCTAATCGTCATACTTGTTCTCTACTTTTCAGTCTTGCACACCACGTGTTTGACAAAAGTCCTGAACCAAATTTCTTCACTCGAATGGCTTCTAAAGCTGCTTCTAAGCATCCTCACACTTCCGAGGGGTCTTCTGAGAAGGTTCCTACTCCGGATTGGTCTAAATGGCCAACTGAATTTGAATCCAAATTCACTATTGAGCATGAATTCCAAACCCACATAGAAACGATTTGGTTGGTTATAGAGTTAAAGAATCGTAGCCTCAAAGCTTTATTTAAGCTATGTGCTCATGTTTTCTTTTCACATATCGTCCAGCAATTTTACTCCAACATGTCCTACTCTTGCACAGAGCCAAATGTGATAAGGAAAATAATTGATGGCATGCCTTATACGATCATCATCAATAACATTGCCATAGCTTGGGATTATCCTTTGGCATCCCTTTGAATAAGGAGGATAAGCCAATCTATGGCATTTTCTCGGACAACATTACCTTACCGAACATTGTGCGTG